CCAAGTCGATCCAGTGCCTTCATCGCATGATTTCTATCCGAATTGGTAAAAACCTGTAAATGCAACATATAATCAATTCACACACACATACATATATATATATATATATATGAAATTGTATGTATAATGTATAGAACTTACGGCGGCAGCAACGAAGTAAGGAGCGGCGACGAAGGGATTGAGGTCGTCGATCTGTGAGTCTGTGAGAGAGAGTAAGTGAGTGACAGAGAAGGGTATATAATAGAGAGGTATATATATGAATGGATAGAGGGGTATATATATGAATGGATAGAGGGCTCTTTTTAAGATTTTTTTTAAACTAATAAGTCTTATTTAGTAAAATTAAGAATATTATCAGTTTTTTATAATTTTTAAAACTAAGGACATTATCAATTTTGCATAGTAGTATTTCAAATAATTGTTTTACTAACTGATGAAAAAAATAGAGTATGAGATTAAACGTTTTTGTCAATTTACTAATTGCTTTGATTCAACTATCCAATAAAACTGAAAATATTATCAGTTTTTTTTAGTTTTAAAACTAAAAACATTATATTAGTTTTTTCATTTTTAAAATTTTTTTTTCCAGTTTTGTACATCACTGTTCCATCATCATAGTATTTTATAAACACAAAATTTTTAGTTTTACACAAAAAAAATAATTCAGTCTTTTCAATTTTTTCAAAAAAAAAAAACTAATTTTTTTTTTATTTTTTCAATGTGAAAGTTATTATTTTAAAGTTTTGAAAATCAAAATAAATGTCAAATTATCATGTTCCTTTATAGATAATCATAAATGATGAACAATCATTATTTAAAAGGATATTAAAAATTTAATGGGACTTGAAGATCTAAAAAAATTTAGTTAAGACTTAATGGAATATAAGTTCATAAATTAAGATTTGTGTGTAAATATCCTTTAATATTATTAATATTAATAATCAGTAATATTGTTGATATAAATAAATAATAATAAATTAAAAATTTTAAAAATAATAAATTTTATTAATTAAACACATAAGCAATCCGCGTTATCTGGGCGACACCACCTATCGAGTCCGGATCCTCTGCCATACTTTTCTGCCATGCTTTCTACAGTGCCCAAAACGGTCGTTTTGGGGCAAAATTTCAAAAAAAAAAAAAAACCCACTGTTTGGGCACTCCAAAAACAATCTTAAAAATTTTCAACCAGTACTGTATAGCTCCACCAGCAGCAGACGAAGAAGTGGAAATGGAGGAGGTCACCATCAAAAGCGTTGTATGCTTTCTAACCACTCCCATTGCCGAAGACGCCATTGTTGAAGCTGTTCAATTTGCTCAATTCAACTCTTATGCCCCAAATGTCGGTATTCTTCCTGCCATGAGGTAAAAATAAAAAATTATACTATATATATGAAACCATTCATATATATATATATATATATTACAAATCATAGGCTAAAAAATATAATAAAAAATGTGAATGTATATCTCTGCATCAAAATCATATTTGGCTTTGTTTTCTTGAGTCAAAACCGAAGATGATTTCTTATATCCATACAAATCTACAATATATATATATATATATACATATATTACAAATCATAGGCTAAAAAATATAATAAAAAATCTGAATGTATGTCTCTGTATCAAAATCAGATTTGGATTTGAGTCAAAACCGAAGAGAACTTCTGATCAAAACCACTACTCTGGTTCTCTTATTCTTTGATCTGGGTTTGTTTTCATTGTTTCATCTGGAAAAACCCAACAGTGTCATCTGCTTTCTCCACTCTCCATCGTTCTTGTCATCCTTTCTTCTTCTCCTTCTCTGGTTCTGTTTTGTTTTATTTTATTTTTATTTTATTTTTTTGACATTTTGCCTCAAAACGACATCGTTTTGGGACACTGTAGGAAGCATGATAGGAAAGTATGACAGAGGATCCAGACTCCCGCCTATCGAAGTCAAGTCAGTGGATCTAGTACCACCCTTATTAGATAGTAATAATACGTGTCCAGTACTTGACATTGTTACATGAGCAATGTTAAGGACTTTAAAAAAAAAAAAACAATTATCAAAATTTAAAAAAAAAATTATCAAAAATTCTACTACATCCATGTGAGTATTATATAGAATTTTAAATAATTTTTTTAACATTTAACATTTTTGTTTGTTTTTTTAAATAATTTTTTTAACATTTAACAATTTTTTTTTTTTTTTTTTTTTTTTTTTTGGTCAAATGATAAAATGATAATAAACACTACAACATATAAGAGTTTTAGAGATCAAATATTTTGATCTCTAAAGTGAAAATTTTGTTTCAAAAGACATTTAGAGATCAATTTTTATCGTCATGAGAATAGTCGCTAAAATGTCATCTTGAAAAGTCAAAAACAAGACTTTTAGCAACAAAATTTTGAAAATGTCACTAATAAATAGATCTTTAGGGACAAAATAATTTGGTCTCAAAATGGTTTATTTTTTAAGACAAAAAATTTCGTTCCAAAAAGATAATAATTCATCAGTAATGTCTAAATTTTGTTACTAAAAATATAATAACGACCCTTTTTGCAACAAAAATATCTTAAAAAATAATTTTGTCCCTAAATTTTGGTCTATAAAACCTTATTTTTTTTTTGTAATGAAGTTAAATTAAAACGAAAGGGTCATAGTTTCTATCAACTCGAATTTTGAACCTCTAACTTCTTTACTATTTTAAGAAATAATTACATAAATCATTGAGCCAACTATCATATCTAAATATATTTAACTGTTAAAAGTGGAGACATTATAATCAAATGTCCACTTAAAAAAATTAGGGCAAATTACCTACACCTCTCTTGAGGTTTAGCTAAATTACAAATTTTTCCCAGATGTTTCAGAAATTACATCCCGCCCTCCGAAGTTTATATTCACATAACAACTTAACCCCTACCGTTAAGTAAACATTAAAAATGGTTAGTTGATATCACCAAAATATAAATTAATGAATGATATTGTCCCTGCTGAAATTCCTTTGATAAATCAATAAAATTTACATAAGAATTACGTTAGATGGGAAAAAAATTTAAGTTTTTGGAACTATGTATGATTGGTTATTTAGAAAAAAATTTCAAAATTTAAAACAAAATAAAATAAAAACTAATTTAATAAAAATAAATATGAAAAAATATATTTAATTTGTAAAAATTATTTCTAACCACTCAAAAGATAAAATTATATAAAAATAATGATTTTTTTTTTCTTAACCAAATTAATTTTTAATTTTTTTAAAAAAAATTAAAATAAATTTCTAAAAATCAAACAAAACATGTTCTAAGAATTTTTTGACAAGCCATTTCTTTTGTTTTTAACTTATTTAATTATTTGTTAATTTTATGATATTTTCACCATCTGACACTACAACATATAAGAGTTTTAGAGACTAATTTTTTTTATCTCTAAAATTGAAAATTTTGTTACAAATGACATTTAGGGACTTATTTCTATCGTCGTGAGGATAGTCGCTAAAAGGTCGTCCTGAAAGTCAAAAATAAGGCTTTTAGCAATACGTTTTCGAAAATGTCAAATAATAAATAGATTTTGAGAGACAAAATAATTTAATTTCAAAATAGTTTATTTTTTGAGATAAAAAATTTGATACCAAAAAGATAATAATTAATCACTAATTTTCAATTTTAGTTACTAAAAATATAATGACACTTTTCGGAAAAAAAAAATATATATTTGGTCCCTTAAAAATAATTTTGTCTCTAAATTTTGGTCTATAAAACCTTAATTTTTTGTAGTGCGATAAGTGTTTTTCCATTTTAATTTTGCATTTCATAACTTATTTAAAAATTATAATTTAGCTAAACCTCAGAGAGAAATATGTAATTTAGCTAAATCTCAAGGGAATGTAGGTAATTTGCCTTTATTTGTCAAAAGGACATTTTAGGTAATTTATGATATCCGATAACGACGTTAATTGCGATAGGACAGGATGTAATTTTTGAAACCTCAGGTGGAAATCTGTAATTTCATTAAACTTGAAGGAAGGTGTAGATAATTTGTCCAAAAAATTACTAATGAATTGTGGGCCCCACATCTATTTTTTGATTGATTCTCTTTCCAACGATGTTAGGGGTTGTTTGGCAATGACTTTTTTAGTTGACTTTTTAATTTTTTTTTTTGGTTTTTTTAGCCTGAAATTTTTTTGTTTGTTTGGTTTTTTTATTTGACTTTTTTAGCTTTTTGGCATTAAAATGATAAAATTGCCCTCCACCTAGAAATGATATTTTTTTGACTTTTTATTTGTATATGGATTAGTTTGATAATTTTGTGGCTTTTTTGTTTTTTGTGATTTTGTATTTTTTATTTTGTCTTTTTATGATTTTTTAGCCCAAATGGTGTGCCAAACCAAGGCTTAGAGAATTTCACTTTTAAATTCACAAATGTTCCTATAATAAAATGATAGAAATTCAAATGCACCTATAATAATATGGTAGAATAAAATTATATGTAACAATTAGTATATTAATTAATATATTAACGAATGATATGATATAATTTTAGAAATTTTAAATCTTTATAGTTTGTATAATGATTGAGTCTATTGTTTTGAAGTAACGATATGATATCATATGTTAGTATATCAATTAGTATATATAACATCACATAATATGATTGAATCTTATATCATTAAATATCTAATAAATAAAAAATTAATACATATAATATCACATTATTATAATATGATAAAAGAATTAAATTTTATATTATTAAATATATAATAAATTAAAAATTAACACATCTAATATCAGTACAATTATGTGTTAAACATACCAACAATACTAGGTAATTCAAAATTTTGTAATTTAAAATTTTGTGACTTAAATAGTTCAAATCACTCAAAACAATATCGTTTTAAGTGTAAAACGACGTAAAACGACATCATTTTAACAAATTTATACTATTTAAACCATAAAATTTTGAACTATCAAATATTTTCTTTTTGAACATATACCCTTACTTCCCCGAGCACCTCTCTCTCATTGAATGCTTCCATTGCATGCTTGACGGGCTTCTCGAAGCTTATACTGCCGTGTACACACCACACCACCATGCCAGCTTGCTTATATAACTAACTAGAACAACACATCCCACCACACACAACCTCCCTGACACACACCCTTACCCTCCCTTTTCACCACCATATGCTGCCTCCGCCGCCCGCCACATCTCCCGACGGAGCCAGAGCCCAAGCCGTGTGGCGGAATCGGCTTGGCTCCGCATTCCGTACCGGTCTAGCATGTGCTATAGTGGGCTGTGTATCCCTCTATGGCCCACACCCTCTAAAAACCCAACTGACATTCCCTGCTTTCTCTTACGTCACCGCCATTCTCATCGTCTCTGACGCCACCCTTGGCGATGCCATGAGGGGCTGCTGGCACGCCGCGTGCGCCACCGTCATGGTGGTTCCGGCCGCCATGCTCAGCTTATGGGTAATTGGACCCCAAAACTTCACGGCCGGGGTTGCGGCGGTTGCGGTGGCGATCGGGTCGTTGGTGGTGGCGGTGCCGGAGTCGATGGAGTTGATGACAAAGAGGATTGCGTTTGGGCAGATAGTGATTGTGTGTGTGGGAGCTGTGATTCATGGGAAGGAAAACGGAGCTGTTTTGGGACCGATTCATGTGGCTTCGAGTACGACTCTCGGAGCGTTGGCTTCTCTCCTGGCTTTGTTGCTTCCCTATCCTCGGCTAGCTCACTTTCAGGTAAAACTTGCATGCACACTTTTGATCGACTCGGGAATTTTTTAGAAACAGTTACTATATGTTTTTACAAACTCACAATAATATTTGGACACCTACTTGTAATAAGATTTTTAATGCTAAGTATTTTAGTACATATAACATTCCTCTTCGAAATTTACCATTAATAGATGAAATCATATGGCAATGCCATAGTCCTAGTATTCCATTCCACTTAATATTCACTAGGATAAACTCTCTTAGATTTTTTTTTTTTTTTTTAAAAAAAAACAAATCTTCAAACTTTAACATAATTACACTGACATTCCTTTTAGCAAAATTACGAGTATCTTTAACCCTTCACTTATCAAATTTAAATTTGATAAAAAAATGATGAAAATGGTACTCCAGCCGTTTCACTAATTGATATCAAACAAAGAACGCTGTACTTTTTCATCAAATGAAAAAAACGTTTTAACCTTTTATCAAATTTGTATGTAACCATTAGACCGAACATCTTCCTAGACAACAAGTTATGGGATGAATTTGATAAAAAATTTACACTAGCCGATCAATCGCCCAGACATTCTCCTAGTCGTCCTCTCAGTTGACTAGTACTTGGATGAAAAATGAAAAAAATTCGTTGGAACGCTCGATTTTAGATAAAACTTTTAGTTAAATTTGATAATTAAAAAAAAAAAGAGTAAACATTGGAGATGCTGTAAACAGATCAAAATTAATGCAGATAATATGAAAACACAAATACATAAGATAAAATATACATTTCAATGTAAAATAGATAATAATATTATTTTTTTCATTCATACGATTAATGATTTTTTGATAAAATGAAGGCCAAGTTTTAACGATTTCAGATGAAACTTTTAGTCAAATTTGATAATTAAAAAAAAAAAAGAGTAAACATTGGAGATGCTCTAAAGAGATCAAAATTAATGCAAATAGTATGAAAACACAAAGATACATAAGATAAAATATACATTTCAATGTGAAATAGATGATAATATTATTTTTTTCATTCATACGATTAATGATTTTTTGATGAAATGAAGGCCAAGTTTTATATAAATTAAAACATTAACACTGTGTTTAGTTGGGAGATTTATGAAGGAATTTAGAAAAGGTAGGTAAAATATGAATAAAATATATCTATATTTCACTTAGTTTTACACATATTTTTTCCATTCCCTTTTTAAATTCCTTCTCAAATCTCCTAACCAAACACAATATAAAAAAAACTTAGTGCAATTATGACAAACTTAGAAAGCTTATTATAATTTTTTCAAATATCAGGATAGGTCAACATAATTTACCCTATTTACTATTAATTTTTCACCAATTTCACGTTCCTACCTAAAAAAAAATTCAATTCTATCTGATTGAAGTTTTTGGCTAAAAAGAATTCCGATAATCAAGTCAGTGATTTGCCCTTCGTTTTAAGAAAATGGAAATGGAATTCAATAATGATGTTGGTAATCTTGTTTGTACGTTCCTTTTTATTTTATATTTATCTTTCGTAGAATATTTTTTTGGAAAGTTCCAACCATTATTCTGGCACTTGTAAATTCTTGTGCCGGGATGTTCTTTGACACCAAGGATCCTCTAGAGTGAAATTTTTCTAAAGTTTCCTAGAGTGCTACATTATGTGGTTGAGATTTACTGGCAAGTCACATCAGAAAAATTGATGTGACTTGCCAGTAAATCTCAACCACACATGTAGCACTCTAAGAAACTTTAGGAAAAAATCACTTTAGAGGATCCTTGCTCGTTCTTTGACCGGAGTTTTTGTACTTCTCATCCTGATATGTTTAGTTGGAATACTTTTCTCGAGTACTAAATCTCGTTTGGGAAGTGTCTTTTTTACTTAAAAAGTTAAAAGTTACTAAAAAAATTAAAAAGTCAATAATTCATATTAAAAAGTCAAAATTTTATTTTTCTCTCTATTTTTTTATACATTTTTTTGTAAAAAGTCAAAAAGTCATCCCAAATATACTTAGTTTTTTTATATCACATTTTAACTAAGGCCTCGTTTGGAAACCCTCATTTTTAGTCAAAAAGTCAAAAAGTTAATAAATTAACCAAAAAGCCAACAACCCATATTAAAAGGTCAAAAATTCTCTTTTCTCTCTACTTTTTGCACATCTTTTCGTGAAAAAGTCAAAAAGTCATCCCAAATATACTAGTTTTTTTTAGTTCATATTTTAGTCAAATAGCCAAAAAATTACTAAATTAATCTGTTCCCAAACGAAACCTAAAAAACTAAAAAATTACTAAAAAAATATATTCCCAAGCAGGCCTAATTCTTGTACGGCATATCTCCTTTTTACTAGTTGGACCTTCATTTTAGTCCAGCCCTTTCTTACAGCCGTGATCTAATTGTATTTTTCTTTCCACCACAGAAAGTGAATGTTCTCATTCTCTTGGAATAATTATTCTTTTCTGTTCTTATTCTCTTGGAATAATTATTTTATATTGTTGACTTTTATTCTAATAAATTAAACAGGTACGATGTTATTTAACTTTAGCTATGTGGTGATGACGAGAAATGATCTGATTCCAACTTTCCTAACTTCGTTTGGCAACTTGGGTTGAGCTGGATTTGAGGCTTTTTGAATTATAAAAAAATAAAATAGATTTTTTAATTTAATAAGATGAATTGTCATATTTAATTTATAATTATTGTATTCTTTTTCTTATAAAAAAGTTAAAAAATTAAAAAACCAAAAAACCAACTCACTCTCCAAACGAACTCCTAGCCTTCATGCCATTAGATTGCAAATTCCTTCTTGCTTGTCGTGATTGAGTTTATGAATAAAATAATTTCTATTAGTTAAAATAGTAGGATAGTATAAAATAATTTATAGTGATGCTATACGCACTAATTGATATATTAATTAGTATACCAATATAGTTATGACATTATCATTTAAAAACTATGACTCCATCTATTATACAAATTACAAAGATCTAAAACCTTTAAAATTATGTCACATCATCCGTTAGTACACTAATTAGTATATCAATTGGTCCATATAGCATGATTCAATAATTTCTATCAAGATGTTTTCCAGAATATACCCCCTCACCCAATTTTTTTTATTTTCTTTTTCTCTCTTAGTTGGACTTCAAACGTATACAAAAACATATAGTATAAAATTATTATCAATATTTACATATTGACCAATACATAATTCCGATAAATGGGATGACTAAGATGGTGATAGTTAAATTATATTTAAATCATAAATTTGTGGAGGAAAAGCGAGAAAAATAGGAAAATGTTAAAAAAAAATAAAAAAAAAATTGCAGTGAAATGAAATGAACTAAATCTATTTCTTTCATTTCTCTTGGTATATTCAAGATTCAAACACAGCGTTACTACAAAACCCTTTCCAAGCCGTAATTAATTATGATTTTTTTTTATGCTTATTTACAGGTAAAGAAACTATGTAGATTGTATGCTGAAAATGCTTCACAGAGGATTAATCTGTATATGAAGGCCTTCTCTGCCCAAGACAACATAACTGCATTGGATGCAATCTCTCAAGCCAAGCCCTTTACAGAAACGGGAACCAAGCTTCTTCAGACTGTCAAACTTATACAGGTAAAGCAATTTTATTTATTTTTTTATTTTTGGTTCAGCGGTTAGGATGTCCGAGCCAGCATACGAACACCTCAACTAATCCCCTTGATCCAGTCAAAGGCAGACCATACACCTATAATACCACTAATGTTTTTCAAAAGAAAATATTCGGAAGGGCAGGTATTAAAAAAAAATTTGGCAGACGGAGGGTCATGCATTTTCAGTGCGGCTTATTACAAGTTAAAAACTAATAATCAAGAAGTAAATGTTAAAAACACATTTTTCCCTACTTCTCAATAATTAACTTTTGCCTCAAAAATTATGGCACAGATTTTTAAAATTAAAAAAAAGAAACGGAAAATGTTTGGTGGCCACAAATTCTGTGGTTCAAATGGCCCGAAACTGCCAAAACGACGTCGTTTTGGGTGTTTTGAACCATTTAAGCCACAGAATTTGTGCCCCTAGCATTGCTGATATGGCTCTGCTATGAGCTATGATCTATGATCATTGATCACTATAACAAAGACTAGGGCTGTATTACACTTCAAACCATCAACTCAACTCATGCAAAAATTCTTCCTGAAACAGGAAGGTGTACTGTGGGAGAGACCTCAAATCAGACTACTGAAGCCCCATTTCATAAATCCCGGAGTTCGATTGCAAGCCATGGAAATCCCAATCAGAGGGATGGAAATTGCGGTAACCTCTTCTCCTTCCTTTCCTGTAAGAATCATTGAAAAAGAGCTCAGTGAGGTTTTACTAGGAATGGAACTACAAATCGGCCAAAAACTAGAGCAAGCCAAGTGTTCTCTACCTTTCGAGGCAACGACAGCTCTGGAGGCAAAGGGGGAGATTTTCAACAAGTTCCTCGAGTCCGTCCCAACCGTTAATCTGAATATTGAGGATCTAACTACTTCTTTCTTCCTGTTCTTGATAAAGCTCCTCCAAGATGACTTGACTATGGCTGCAAAAACAGAATGTATCATAGACAGATCTAACATTAATGAAGAACCAAGAATTACATTAAAAGAAGCCAAATGTGGCTTCAAAAGGATCTGCAGTAATTGGTGCGTAAGACGATCTAAGATTGAAACACTGACATTTGCAGTCAAGTATTCACTTTCTTTAGGTCTTGCAGTGTTCTTTGGTTTGATTTTCAACAAAGAAAATGGGTATTGGTCGGGGCTAACCATTGCCATTAGTTTTACAGAAGGGATGCAAGCAACATTTACAATGGCAAATGCTCGAGCGCAAGGAACAGCACTGGGATCAGTCTACGGTGTCTTGGGCTGCTTTTTCTTCCAAAATTTTGATGAAGCAAAGGTTTTAGCCCTTCTACCTTGGATAATATTTATCAGTTTTCTAAGACACAGTCAGATGTACGGCCAATCCGGTGCGGTTTCAGCAGTTATCGGAGCATTATTGATCCTGGGCAGGAAGAATTATGGCCCTCCAGCTGAATTTGCTATTTGTAGACTCACAGAAGCTTTCATTGGACTATGTTGTTTCATCGTAGTTGAGCTTCTCTTGCAACCCACAAGGGCAGCGACTCTAGCAAAAAGGCAACTCTCACAGAGCTTGGGAAAACTTCAAGAATGCATTGGGGAAGTGGGTCTCTCTTCTGATCCAAAAGACAAGCCTCCGAAATTAAGAGAAAAGCAAGAGAAACTAAGAACTTGTGTCGATAAATTACAGAAATTTGCTGGAGAAGCCGAGTTGGAGCCTAATTTCTGGTTCTTACCTTTTCGGATTGCGTGTTATAACAAGCTGTTTAAGTCTATATCTAAGATGGCAGATCTCTTGCTTTTTATGGCGTACAGAATGGAGTTCCTAGTGGAAGCATCACAGAGTTGTGGGCTTGCTTGGAAGGAGCTACAAGAACCCATCAACAGTGATCTAGAGCTTTTCAGGAAAAATGTAAATTCTTCACTGGAATGTCTTGAAAAGATCACTTTAATCAAGTGCTTTGCAGTAATCGAAAGAGAAACTCATGGGAACAAAATACACAATGACCTTGAGTTGGGAAAATCATCAAATACAGATGAGTGTAGAATGCATGCAGACGCTGAGAAGATTGTAAGTTCCTTCCTTCAGCACTCGAAGGAAGCAACGGACAAGATCTGGGCTGAAAAAGGTGAGGAGAGACGTAAGAACGAAATGGCTATTTGTTTGAGTGCCATTGGGTTTTGCATCAGTGGCCTAATGAGAGAAACAAAAGAGCTTGAGAAAGGAATAAAAGAATTGATTCGGTGGGAGAATCCTTCAAGACGCATAAATTTCTATGAAATATCTGGTAAGATCAATGCTCTTTATCCAGAGTAAATTTAGCACCATCACCCCCATAAAGGGTCATGAAACCAGGGCAGTATCTAGAAAGGTGGCTGCTACAAATTGTGCAATAAAAATGTGGAAAGTTTCCAGATTCAACAAATAGACACCAGGCTAGTCAAAAGAGATTACCACACGTCTTTTCCCAAAATGTGCAGTCACAAAAGGTGGTGAACATCCCACTTGAAGATATAGCCACAGTGTCCCTGGCGCAGAGAGATGGACAGAGACTGTAGCATGCAAACTGTAAAACAGTATGAATAATTGGATAAATTTTTTAAAATGTTTATATTGTTAATGTATAATGTAATGTATAATATATATAATGTATAATGTAATGTATGATATATATAGTATAATATATTATAGGACAAAGCATAAGCATAGGATTCTTTTCTTTTTCTTCTTTCGGTTGTAAAGACCAAACACCACTCACACACTTTCATTATTATGCATAACTTTTGTCTTCTCCTTTCGGTGCTTTATCTATAAATAAACATCACTCTTGTAACCAACAGATATAGAAATTACAACATTTCTTTCAGATATCTTACATTTCTCACATATATAAGTATCATAAACATTTTTTGTTATATTTCCTCAGAAACCATACCAAACTAAAATAATTTTCCTATAATGCAAACCAAAAAATAGAAAGCACAGTCAGGAACATTTCAAAAAAAAATATTGGATATAGATATCGATTCACTTGTTTAGGTTTGAACCTACACAACATCATCAATTGTCCTTCATGCACATGTTGTACTCAGTATTCTACCATGCATTCACGAATCAATGGCATGTTTGGTGCAGGCTCTAACAAATTAAAAGTTTTAATCATAAGCAGAAGTTAAAATACTCTCCCATGTTTCTCAATAATCATTTGTTAAAATATATGCTATTTTTGTCTTATAAGTTATAAATATAAATTACGTTAAAAAGTCTTACACGTATTTTTAAAATAAGAAAAAGAAGTTATAAGCAATTCTATAAACTGCACCAAACAGTCTCATAGACAATAATACTTCTATCACAAAAATTCATTATTTTTACTACAAAAGTCATTACTCTGTGTGTAAAGTATATTACTCCTTTAAGAATTCAAATCCTGTATATTTCATTGATAGAATGAAATTGAGATCTCCGTACCATTAAAAATGGCCATGAAAGATCCACATTGACAAATCTTGATTTAAATTCAAAATCAAATATGGAAGTTACGAAATTTATAATGATAGGGTAGTTATAAATCATTGATTTTGTACTTTAGTGAAGCGTTATAATAATATTAAATCAAATGGAACCAAAAACAAAAAAGAAAACTCCAAAAAACACAAAAAACACAAAAACAGAAACCAAAGACAAAACTATCAAAAAAAACCTTAACAAAACTCCATTAACAATCAACCAAAAAACATCATTATGGTTTTCGAAATCATGCAGAAATTACAAAAAATGAAAAACATAGTAAAAGTTTGATAGATTAATTGTCTATATGACTTATTATTGGAAAAAAAAGAAATCATGCAGAAATTACAAAAAATGGAAAACATAGTAAAAGTTTAATAGATTAATTGTCTATATGACTTATTAGGGGAAAAAAAAGAAAAAGGAAAGCGATGAATTTATGGACTATTGGAAAAGGTAAGTGATTGATTGATTCCTCTGAATTTCGATTTTCTGACTGCAATGGTTGATTGCGAAGTTTGATGGTTAAGAAATGACGTCGGTTAAGAAACGATGTCGTTTTTTATATGCATAACGACTAAAAAGGTTGTTTGTGTGGCTGCTGGGATTCGAGCCCAGGTCTCCACGGCCACAACGTGGAATTCTTACCACTAAACTACAGCCACTTGATGATGAGATGTTTATATTTTATGCAATTAACTCCTACCTAGTTTTCTAAACAAGCAAACCTAATTATGATTTTTTTTCTTGCATTTCATTTTTCCTTTTGTCTTCACTTTTCCTTAAATCATATTCTCAATTAAATTTAAAATTAATACTATCCTTTTTAATCCTTCATCCATATTATAAAATTATATACTACTGGACTAAGCTTTTTTTTTTTTAATAAATAAAACTTCTTAAAAAGGAATGAGAATTACTTGTAATAAAAATCATGTGTCGACGTTATTAATATGTTTGATTTCATTGTAAACTTTTAATCAAAAAATAGTAAATTTTAAATAGTATTAGCTCAGATTATTATTATTATTATCCTCAAAAGGTTTTAGCATTGTAAGATTTCTCCAAGAAGTGAGGAAAAATGAATTGTAAATATTTGTCATGAATATATAATAAAAAATCACTTTCCTATTTCAATCAATTCTAAAAATTGAATTCATGGATCAAAATCACATTTTCTTTCTCCTCAACTACCTATCCTAATCCATCCAATCCTTATGGGAGTTAGCCTACGATGAGAATTTGAATTGTCCATTTTGTAAACGTTGAAAAAATACATAAGTGCAAAAAATTAGTTACTAAACGGTTTTAGTTTGAAATTATATTTACTATTTATTTCATAAAAAAAGAATACAATTAAAGGCTAATTACACTAACATTTCTATAATTTAGGTTTCTATCACTTTGATTCCTAACTTTTCAATTGTGACACATTTAACCATAAAATTTGAATTTTATTCAAAATGAGGACAATTGAATATATCATTGCTTAATTTTAAGGGCAAAGTCGTCAATTTAATAAAATATAAACAAATTTGACAAAAATAAATGTCAAAAAAATATTTTAAAAATTTTAAAAATAATTTATACCCACCAAAGATAAATTATGTAAAATTGATAAATATTTTAGACATTTATTTATGGGTACACTTCACTTTTATCCCCTATAATTTGGGCCGGGTACGATTTACCTCCTGACATTCGGATATCACCACGTAACCCCCATGTGGTTAATGGATTAAAACGCACACTAACTTTTGTTAACAGAAGTTGTAAATTGACAATTATACCATCATATATATATATATATATATATTATTTCAGAGAAAATCCAATTCTTTCTCTCTCCATCTTCATCTTCTTCTTCTCTCTCCATTTCAAACTTTATATGTGTACATACATGTACATATATATACATATACAATCTCATTTTCAACTTTTTCTTGATTATGTGTACATATATATACATATCTACATATCAAACCTAGTTCGAATGCAAAGCCCTATTCGAACGAATGGAAATTTTGATATTGAGGTCGGAGAAATTCATAGATCACTGAGGTATTTTTTCGTCTCAAGTATTTTATTTGATGCAACCATGCCCAGTTCATAGCTGTTGGAACAATCTTCTGTGTAAATAAAATAACTTAAAATAATTCAAACAAAATAAAATAAAACTTACAGAATTTATTTTGTTGAACCGAATCAATAATTTAAAGACCAAGTCGAGTGTGTGACACTCTATCCTTAAGACAGATTCACCCCGTTACGGTGCTTATGGTTGAGTGGCGTTTATCTCCCAGGATACAATGATCTTCACAAATTTGTAGAAACACTTCAAACAAATTTGTCCGGCGAACTAGAACCTTGTGTTCTATAACTCTCTTAAATTTATTCCTAATATTTTATATGAAGAATAATGCACTAAAAGAAAATGGATAGCAAAGAGGCAAGAATTTCAGACTGAATTTTTCGGATCAATCAAAATTGGAATGGGGCTGCCTTTATATAGGTTTTGTTGGTACCTATTCAATTTGAATAGAAAAGGTATGAAGAAGGGACATACCCCTTCCTTTAAAATAAAGAGACACCATGAAAGGTTTGCACCATTTCATTCAAATAGAGGTTTGACCCTTCCTTTAAAACAAAAAGACACCATGAAAGGTTACACCATTTCATTCAAAATGGAGTCTATTTCAATTTACAACTACCTCTTTATAAATTTTCCAACAATCCCCCACATGAATGAAATTGACAGAGAGAAAATGCAACAACATGATGTAAATACAGAGAGTACAGAAATTGGAAATATTCTGCAAAGGATAGGTAACTTTTGGCTTTGAACCTTCCCTTGTGAGATACTATCGGATTTACTAGCTAACCAGTGAACATGATGTCTTGAATTGTTCAGCCGTTTGTGTAAACCAAGACAATAAAACTCACACAGTATATCTCCAGACACAATTTAGTTCTCACTATTGTATTCATTTTGGCCCTAAACAACATGGTCTTTCATGAGTGCTCTAAAGACTTGTAGCCCTTCACAAATCTTATAGAACCGGCCCAGTTCACACTCGCATATGTGATTCTTATGAAAAGTATCCTACCATACTCCACTAGGTTTACCTAGATATAAGAATCATTAAAAGTATTACTTAACCTAAACCACTGCAGACATCACTATTTCATCAAAGAAATGGGTAGGAGATAAACTCCCCAGTGATCCTTCTGAGTCATTCGCAACTCAGTTGTCCCTTTGAACCTAAATCTTGGGATCTCCAGTCAACTAGGTTGGGTTGCCATTGTGGTAACTCTTATTTAATAGGCTTTAGTCCCATTCCCCTCAATGAATTTTCAACTAACTCTCTTGCTAACCCTTTAGTTAGTAGATCCGCTATGTTGTCTTTAGACTTAACATATTCTATAGACATAATTCCATTAGAGAGTAGTTGTCTTACGGTATTATGTCGACGACGAATATGTCGAAACTTACCGTTATACATATGACTCTGTGCTCTACCAATTGCTGATTGACTATCACAATGTATGCATATAGCAGACACCGATTTTGGCCATATTGTAATATCTTCAAGGAAGTGGCGAAGCCATTCTGCCTCTTCCCCTACTTTGTCTAAAGCTATGAATTCAGATTCAATAGTAGGCCTAGCAATACAAGTCTATTTGGAAGATTTCCAAGATACAGCCGCCCCACTAAGAGTAGAGACATACCCACTGACTTTGAGTCTCTTGTATCCGATATTCAATTTGCATCACAGTATCCTTCAAGTACTGCTGGATATCTAGTATAATTAAGCCCAATGTTACGAGTAAATCGGAGATATTTAAGAACCCTTATAATTGCTTTCCAGTGTTCTACTCCCGGATTACTCGTATATCTACTTAATTTACTTACTGCACAAGCTATATCTGGGCGAGTGCAGTTCATCAAGTACATTAAACTTTCAATAATTTGGGCATACTCTAATTGAGAAATACTTTCCTGTACATTCTTAGAAAGATACAGATTAATATCTACAGGTGTTCTTACAAGATGATCATCATCTTTGTTGAATTTGTCAAGTATTTTCTCAATGTAATGAGATTGTGACAAAGCATATATTTCTGATGTATTGGTAATTTTCATACCAAGTATTACATCAGCAATGTCCATGTCCTTCATGTCAAAATATTTATTCAACATTTTCTTGGTAGTTTTAATCATGTCATTATTACTACTAATAATGAGCATATCATCTACATAAAGACATATAATAACATAACCTTTAT